CACACCCACAGGTGTTTCCATAGGATCCTAAATCCAGTCAAATTGACAATGAAGGTTGACCATCACAATCAGCATGAAGGTACATACCTATAATCCCATCATTTAAGAAGCTGATGCAGGAGGACTCCAAGTTTGAGTCCAGCAGCATTATAGAAGACCCTGTCTCAAAGAGAAAAAAAAAGCAACCAAACTCGTACCGATCATCATATCATTGGCATTGTGTTTCTTCTGCAGCTTTTGCTCGGTCATGATGAGTTCTGATCTTTGAGCACCACAAAAGGAAACAGCCTTCTCCCAGGGATGGTCTGGATAGCAGGACCACGGATGTCAGTCACACTAACCTAATGGAGTTTCTGAGTGGTATACGCTGTCCATGAGGATGCTGGGGAAGTCTGTGGAGGCTGATACAAGAGCTGCAGATGGGGACCACGGTGTGATAGTAAGATAGGACTGTCTGGGGGCCTTCCAGCCCCTTTAGGGCCTCCAGAGCAGGCTGCAGTCAGAGTGGACCTCCTGCTACCTGAACTGTTCTCTAAGTGGTCCCACCTATGACCCTTTCAGAAGAATTCAGAAGAACCCCAAGATGGCAAGACAGGCCCAGATCCTCCCTGAAAACAAAACAAAACAAAACAACAACAACAACAACAACAACAACAACAACAACAAAAAAAAAACAGCTGGGCAAGTTTGCTGACATCAGGGAGGAGGGAGGTGGGGCAGGTCAACTCCAGAGATGGGCAGTCAACTGTCAACCGGAGTCAGGAAGACTTCCATGGGAACAGCCAAATCAGGTCTTCTGGGTGATGGAGATTTGAGACAGCGTTGACATTTGGGATCAGAGAGCACAATGGAGAAGTTTGAAGGCAGGTTTGCAGCAGGATTTGTGAGGACATTATCACACTGATGCTCGGAAGCCCATTTATTTCATCAGCCACCAGGGAACAAGAAGCGGAGTGAAAGCGGCCATCAACAACAGCTCTAGAAACGGGCCTGGCTGTCCCATTTGAAGTTGGGAGTTTCTGGGGTGGTGGTGGTTTATGGCTCTAAACCCAACACTCAGGAGGCAGAGGCAGGTGGGTTCACTATGAGTTCAAGGCCAGCCTGGTCTACAGAGCGAGTTCTAAGACAGCCAGGGCCACACAGAGAAACACTGTCTAAAAAAAAAAAATTCAAAACCAAAATAAATAAACAAAAAAGTTAAGGGATTAGTTCAATAGCACACTTGCCTATCAAGCATGAGGTTCAATTTCCAAGCAAAAATGAAAAAATAAAAAGAGAGAACTGAGGAGATAGTTCAGTTGGTAAAATACTTGCCATGACCAACAAGAGGATCACCTGAGTTCAGCGGTTAAGAGCACTTGTTACCCTGACCTGAGTTCAGGTCCAGTACCCATGTCAGGTCACACAACTCACAGCCCCCTAATCCAGATCCAGTGCCCCCTCTGTCCTCAGAGGGTACTGCACTCACACAGCACCGCCCTACACCTTTTATTTTTAAATTTTTATTTATTGTCTATACAGTATTATCTATACAGTATTCTGCCTGTATGCCAGAAGAGGGCACCAAATCTCACTACAGATGGTTGTAGGAATTGAACTTAGGACCTCTGCTACTTAGCCTTAACAGCAACCTCTTAACAGCAACTTAGCCACTGAGCCGTTTCTGCAGCTCACACAAACAAACCTTTTAAAAACTTATAAAAGGCAAAACTCTGGACCTGAAAATTCAGAATTCCTAAACACTGAACATCCAAATTGCAAAAGCATTTTTTTAAATCTTTGTCCTGGAACTCACTCTGTAGACCAGGCTGGCCTCAAACCACAGAGATCTGCCTGCCTCTGCCTCCAAAGTGCTGGGATTAAAGGCATGTGAGCCAGCTTTCCGGACATCTGTCTATTGTCTTTTTGAGACACGGTCTTGTACTGTAGCCTGTGTGGCCTAGGCTGGCTTGGAACTTTGGTATTATTGTATTAATGTATATATGTGCACGGTGTAGGAGGCATGTGTGCCATGGTGCACAAGAGCTTTGTGAAAAAGAGTTTCTCTTTCTACCTTTATGGGGGTTCTGAGAATTATCAGCTGCCGTGGTCCATGGTGGATGTGACTAGGACTGGTAGAGGAACGGGATCAGAACCACACAGAGACTGCTCATGTTTATTAGCAGAAGGAGAACCCCACACATCCATTCACAAGAACACTAACAATCTTAGAACTGACGATACCCACCCCTCCCAACACCCTTCTTCTCTAAGCCCCACCCTAAACTTAGTTTGGGCCCGTTAGAAAATTTTGGGCTTCTAGCATTTTTTATCTGGAAACCATATGAATGTACTGTCAGGACTGTTTTTCATGTCCCATCCACTTGTCCCTGTGGGCTGTAGACAAACATCTGCAAGACTCTCCTCAGTCACTCAGTTCTAGATCAAAATCTGGATATAACTCCTTGGTGGTGACACCGCGGGTCAGAGCTGAAAGAAAGGAAGGAAGAATTACTATCCAGTGGAGAAGGTCAAAACCCCAAAACTAAGGCTACTGTCCTAACTGCCCAGACTACCACCCAGATTCACACCTCACCCAAATGGCAAAGACAATCTTCCTGTTTCTCTTTCCAAGCCTTGCCCCTGGGGGCTTGGCCTGGCTACACCACATCAACCAAGTATTTCAGCATGGCCTGCAGCCAGCCTTTCAGGCCCCAGCCTGTATGACCTTACTCTAGCTGCTCGGCCTAGGAGACTCCGCCTCCCTTTCTCCACAGGGAAGCTCTCCTCAGAGGCCTCCTCTGAGCACCTTATCTTGCGCCCTCCTGCCACCTTCTGCAGACCTCAGTCTTCCATCTCCCCTGTTTCCTTCACAGAACTTAACATGGCTGCATCTCTGCTCAGCTCCTGACTAGTCACTCTGCCCACTCTAAACACTAAAACCCAAGGCACGTGTTTCACCACCATCAGCATCGAGTGCCTGGTACACAGCAGATGCTCAGTAAATATTCACTGAAAAAACCACAAAAGTGATAGGACACTGGCTCCAGGCCCTTGGACCTAGGGGTGACAGGTCTCCATCTGACTTCTTCTTTTTTTTTTTAATATTTATTTATTAAGTATACAATGTACTGCTGGCAAGGAAGGCACCAGGTCTCATTATAGATGGTTGTGAGTCACTATGTGGTTGCTGGGAATTGAACTCGGGACCTCTGGAAGAGCAGCCAGTGCTCTTACCCTCTGAGCCATCTCTCCAGCCCCTCCATCTGACTTCTAACAAGAACACTTTTATGGCTATTGTTGTTTTGATCAGGTCTCACCATGGAACTTAGGCTGGTCTTCACCTTATGATCCTCCTGCCTCAGCCTCCAGAGTACTAGGATTTCAGGTGTGCACCACCACATTGGCGACCCCTCCCCCCCTTTTAAGCTATGACCACTGCCCTTTGAGACACTTTTATTTCCGACCTATTTTCTTCTCCCTCTGGAGGACCCATTCTTTTTTTTTTTTTTTTTAAG